ACATCCATCGGCAAAGAAACGAGCTGAGTCATAAAAGAAGCACAGAAATGAATTACAATAATGAAATAAATTGCTCGCATTAATGAGTCATTAGTTTTCAAGACGTAATGATAATGGCTATTATTTTAGGCCACTATTGTTGCCAAATTTGCCCCGCGTGTCTTTCGACAGCCAGTTCGGTTACTCGGAGTTTTTGTTTGTCGCGATTTCGGACCAAGGAGAAGTATGCGTCGATTTTTAATTAAGACTGACGATGATGTACAGTCTTATAAGGATGCCTTATAAATATCATTACCATATCATAAAAACTGTGGACGTAGTTAATGAGTCATTCAAGAGTTATTGCAGTTACTGTAGGGACATTTTCATGCTCTTCGATTATTCTCCAAATAATATCTATAGAATTGTGACCCAGTGGCTGTTGGTACATAAAATGATACTCATAATATTTGTTTTTTACAAGTTTTTTTAGTGATTGCTGAAGTCTTCATTTATTTATAATGAAATTAAACAGTGGTAGAAAGAGTTTCAGATAAACACCATTTGTATGATTTTTGCTACACTTTACATAAGTTTATCTTTACTTGAAGAAACCTACTATTTAGTGAAACAGTACCTAGTGATTGTATTCAATATGTTTTCTTAAGGATGTTTGGGAGGTATGTCAGAATGCTACGAGACAAGTAATAATTTGGAAGAACGGTCCTCATTCAATTCTAAAACTCCTATAAAAATTACAAATCGATTCACTAAAACGTTAAAAAGTTATTGAAATTTTAAAAAATTGTAATTTTATACGTCATTTTATGGAGATTCGTTAACCGAACAGATTAAATTTATTTTTATTAACAGAAAAAAAGCTACCAGAAATTTCAAACTTTTATAATAAGTAACTTGAACTCTGGAGAATCACTTTAGCGTAAGGTTATTCAAATTCACTAAATGGTTATCGAGGAAAAAATGAAAAATTAGCTGAAAATCTCGTTTTTACTTGATAATATAATGATAATATTTATAATTGTCTGAAATAAATGCAATTTTAAAGTTTTAATTATTATTTAAACATATTAAAAAGTTTTACGCTCATTATTAATAGAGATTGAAACTAAATATTTTTTGTTTCGAAGTTGAAATCAAGGCATATTTTGGTCAAATTCCAAATTTTCTCTCAAACCGTATACTTTTTTTTAGTATAAATTGTATTTATTTACCTCATGATATGCTGCAAAACCTAATTAATCACGAATTTCTAATTTTATGTACTCTTCTCTCCGATTGTACCTCCCAAACATCCTTAAAGCTATATTGAGTGTTACTGGTGATGAATTACAATAAATTATTGCTTCATGTGGTAATGAGATCATATGAGATAAACCTAACACATGTGTACCTAACTTTATAAAAAACTGGGTAATCCCAATCACCAACTATCTTAAGGAAGTTCAATTAGACAAACATCAAAAATGTAGACGAAGTTGTGGTTATCTGCTAGTACTGATTCCACTGATTCGCTCAAAATGTTTTCAAAGTGAGTAGCGATCATTTTCTTCTCAGGAAGGTCACAGATACAGAATTCATGGTGATTACGAATGGGGCCCACACGAGGCAGTTGGTACTTTAGTCAGTCTCCTCCCAAATTTCAAAATTAGTGAAAATAATTGTCTCATTTCAGGTAACTTTTTTGGAAAATTAAAGTAACTAATTTTGCAAAGCGATATAGCTAGTCCTTTAAAGACTGCATTCTGAAACGATCACTACATTTCTCCATTAACATATTCTCTTATTTCCAGGAGCAAATTGAAACGTGTCAGTTATTGGATGTTGCGAATACGTTACAGTAGTAAAAATCACTAGGTATACATGGCAATACAAAGGATTAATTGCTCTTCCAACAAAATAGATTACCAAAGAAGACCGATGTAATATTCCCGAGTCAATTCAATTGTTCACTTAATAACGACAATATGTAAATTTCAATTATTTCTTTTGAATTGATTACGAAACGGTTTAATAGTATGCATTCAGTGGAATTAATAATAGTAGGCGAGCGCGTGGATTATTTTCCATTAAAACACAATCTACTTCTCCTAAACATGTCATGCATAGCTGTCACAAAATGTTTGAAAATCGTTATCGTTCTAGAACGTTTTCAATAATTACATGCGACGATAAAAATAATGAATGATTTGTCAGATAGGTACCACACATTAACAACGATTCTAAGCGAATAAGTAAATCAATACTGTTCGAAATACTAATCAACTTCTTTCAAAACAAACAACCCCTAAGCAGAATTCCTTCATCCCAAAAAAAAAATACAATTGATTATATTGGTATATAAATCGAATAAGGTAGAATATGTGAAAATACTATGTTCTAAGAGATGGTGGCCACGAAGATTTTTAATGTTTTCGTTTCAAAAAAGTAAGCATCACAACTGCCGAAAAGTCAAAAGCAGATTCACAAGAGGTTTTCATAAAAGTCTGACAAAATTATAAAATATTTGTATCTTGAAATAGACAGCTAGATTCAAGGGATTTTTTCACTTCATCTTAAAAACACCATTAAATAAATAGTTACAGCTCAACATCAATCATAATTATCATATTCTGTACTGAACATACAAGATTTAAATATAAAATAGTAGGCAAAAAATAGCAGATAAAACGAGTAACTTTTTCAACGTTTGGAATCTTGATATTCATTATTCCAATTTTAAATAAGGTAACATCATCATCATAAGGTCGTCAGTTCTAAAACTGGTTGAACACGTACCTCCACTCCTTCGTATCCTGAACCAATCTTCGCATTTCCTTAAAACTAAAACAACCCACACCCTTAACTATTTACGAACAGTAATCTAATCCAGGTCCTGTTTCTGCCACTAATATGTCTCTAACTAGACCTTCATGCCTAAGAAGGTGTCCTACCAATCTATCTCGCCTATTTCTTACTGACTTCCATAGAGTCCTCCGTTCTCTTATTTTTTCTAATACCTCTTCATTTCAAACCTTCTCTATCCACGGTATCCATCATTCGCCCGTAACACCACATTTCGAACGCTTCTAACCTTTTCTTTTCCACCGCGCCCACCGTTCATGTTTCGCACCCATACAGCACCACTCTCCAAACATACACCTTTAACAATATTTTTCGAATTTCTAAATTTATTGAAGGCAACACGACCCTGCGCTATCTTTTGCTTTATATCTTTACTACTCCTTCTATCCTGACTTATCTGACTTCCTAGATACCTAAAATCAGCTATTTCTTCAAATTTTTTCTGTCCTATCTTTATATTCGCTCTTTCCCTTTGTTTTCTTCCCTTGTATAGCAGTATTTTTGTTTTACTTTTATTTATTTTCGTGCAGTACTGTTTTGTCAATGTCGCTTCCATTTTATTTAAAGCTATCTCTAACTCATCCTTGCTAGATGCTAATTCTGCTATATCATCTGCAAATCTAAGCAGACTAATCTTTTGCCCCTGTATATCTTTCTTTAAGGTAACATTAAAAATAAAAAAAAAGGTTATGCAGATTTATCTCCAAAATAAACTTCGCATAACTCAATAGGTAGATAGGTAAGCCCAAACAGGAAAACCTTTATCGAAATAACTCTCTAGTGCTCTGTCTTTTGTAACGAATATTTAAATATTTCTAGTTGAGGGGTCGAATTTTGTTTTGACTTTCGACCGCCACCTAATAACCGAAAAAATCGTATATCGTTGAGTGGTTGCTACACGCACTTGTAGTCGCTTAATTGTTAACGATTTCCGCATGCAGGTGTAGGTATAACTACATACTAATGTTGAATTCAGCGAAACACACAACAAATTAGTGGTTTCCTAAACAGTTTTAATTCCGTCAATCATTCGCAATATTCGACACGCGTCACTTGTTTTTTAAAAACAAGAAACGAATGTGAATTCTGTTTCAGTTTAAAAAGGAAACATAAATTACTCAGTGTAAATTTCGTAGGTAACTTAGGTATTTGACTTTTATAATTGATTTACGGACATAAATTAACTCAAACACGTACAATTCTTAAACCTCATCAGTTGATACATTTTTAAACAAGAAGGAAACCATTACAATGTCTTCTGTATCATATGTATATATCTGTATACGAAGTTGACAGTAAATATGCAACAGAACTTAATTAATACTCCTGTAATTATCAATTTTACAGAATTAATCCTATACGTTTTCGTTGTTAATTAATTAAGGATGGAATATGGAAAATATTGTGAAACATTTAATTAAATAATTAGTTTAATCGTTTACTATAAGACTGATTTAAATAATAAATTTAGATTAACTTACTGATATGTTTCAAAAATTATAGCAAGAAAATTAAATCAGCTAAATTGCAATGTTGTGCCTATATTCCTTTGATTCTGTGGTTTTAAAATTGAGTAAACAATTTCGGTTTTAAAATACAGATTTTTTAATCATTATTATCATAGCTTCATAGTTTACCCGATGCATTTTAATTTTGTTGTCTAAATTGTAAATTGCAGTTATCCTTTGATCCTGTGAGAAATCCATTTCAAGTTATTTCTTGACTCCAAAATCTTTCAAGCTTTTTATGCATCCCTCACATCCCAAAATTATAGTTTTATCACCTATGCTGTAACATTTACCTAAGAGATGACTAGAATCGTGTTTTTTATTTCTTTAATGAGCAAATATTTACTCCAGTGGATTTTGGTTACACTTTTATACCTATCTTTCTAGTTGCACCTTGCATCTTTTTAGAGGTCTGGTCAGTATTTTCTGAGAAATGACTGGCATAGATAGAATACCTAACAAAAAAGCTGCTTCCCTACGCCCTATACGAAAGTAAAAACGCACCGGTGGAACTAGATTTTGCAATCGTCATTTTACCTGCCTGCCTATTTCACCTTCTGAGTGTCTCTCTTTTCTAAACACAATGCGGCCTGCATGCATAGAGGTCCCTCATGACGAACACACACACACGTCAGGTAATTTTTAACTTACCGTCGCCTCTTAACGGTGTCGGACTTGGGGGTGGCGATCGGGGCGAACTTCCAGGTGGGCCGACGCCCTCATCTTCAGAACTACTCGACAACGAAGGGCTACTACCCCTCGCGAAGCATTTATTATTGTTGCTACTGTTATAGTACATCCCGTTGTTTTGTAACAGCATCATATGCTGTTGCGCAGACAAATTGCCGAATTGTTTCAGTTGCGTCGTTCTCGTCTTGAACTTGGACATGGTGAAGTCTAGGGGTTGTTCGGTCTCGTGGGGCGATAGTAGAACGTGCGAGGGCTGATGGTGTTGCAACAACATGGGCATGTCTTCTTTATTATTAGCACGAGTCCAGAAAGTCTGTGTAAAGTCTATAGTGTTGTTGTTCAGGCTGTTTTTCAACCTGGGATTGCCTCCGACGCTTCCGGGGGCGGATGCGTCGATCAGATTATTACTGCCCTTGTTGGCTATTGGGGACGGGTTCGATTGCACCCACCGCCTCACGGTGTCACTGTTGTAATCAGCCAGGTTATCAATTTTCACTGCACCTTCATACAACATCACAGTCTTTTAGGTGAGATCGCGCACTATGAGTAGGTACTTAACGTTTTTTAAAGACCGATCACGATTTCGTCCTTGCAAGGATTCGGTAATCGAACGATAGTTTTTCTCATCTCGATGAACACCATCGTGTGACGATGATAACAGGTAATAATTGAAATTGGTACGTGATTTGTGATATGTTTTGATTGCACTCGCGATTTTTCCTCCTTCGATCGTCGACGCACTAACAGTGTGACGGCATGCTTTTGGGGTGGTTGGTCGGGGAAGAGGCTGCTGATAAGGATGTCGATGCACTGGTACCTAGTCTCAGAAACTACCCTTTCTAGTGTTAGTTTACTCTCTCACGGCCTCCTCCGTAGCATCGGCGCCACCGACGAATGCCATATAACAGCATGTGTATATGCATCGGTGGGATGCTGAGACCAGCAGGAGGGGCGGCAATGTCCGGAGCCGGCGATAGTGGGGACGGCATGGCGACCAATCCGCATCCGCGATGTTCCAATACACAATTGTATATAAATCGTATGGATTATTTATTTATTCGCGTTACGTATCTATGTATACGCTTATAGAATTGGTTAAAACAAAGGAGGAATATTTAAGCGGGAGTTCCATTCGCGATTCGTCGCGATGGTGGAAAAATCGAATGGAAAACCAATACATTTTTCCATCTCACAATTTTTCTTATTTTATTAATCCACTGTTAAAAATTTAGAAATATTATCTTCACATGCAAATTTTACAGGAATCCGTCACTATATTGGTTTATTGCCTCAGTATCTCAGAAGGAAAACCGTGAAAGATTTTAAATCCTTCGACCTATGGTCCTCACTAGACGAAACAATATCTCAATATTTCTGAAGAAAAGTGCATAATAGCACATTAAGGCAGATAGATACTTTTAATCGGTGCGGGATTTACGTGGAGGGAGACTCCAGGTCGAAAATTTGAAGCCACCCCCGAAAAGAAAATATTATTTTTTAAATAAACAGCCAGTTTTCTGAGAATTTGATTTTTACTGTAATATCACATTTGCAAGGGGTAGATACCTATCATTACCACTATTTCAGAAATATAAACTAGCGACCAGATAAGGACCAAACATATTCAATATATCAGATACATACAATCATCAAAGGAAGACATCATCTTTTAAAAAATACGACGTGGTGTAGAGAAATTCTTACAAATACCTTAAGCCATCTTTTCATACAAATGTAATTTGAAGTTATTGATGGTTGTTATGTTTTGTTCAAAATATATTTTGTGAGTTCTGTTATTAGTAGAGGACAGTTTTCTTGCATGGATTTTCGCTCGGGCGACATAAAAACAAAAAATGCCGACAAAGAAATGTGCAATTTCTATGTTCGGTGAACATTTCGATTTACCTGCATACATTTTGTCACGTATCCAAGCCATAAAAAGGACTACGAACAAAAGGAACCAAAAAGTCAATGAATCCTGCGTCCTGCGTCATTATGAAATCATTCACCACCGATACAAATAAAGAATTTATCGAAGAACTGTTTTTAAAAGATATGTACATTTGTACTTAGGAGTAAGATTTGCGAAGATTTCTCCTTCTTTTTTTTTGCACTTACAAAAAGTGGGTACATAGTGAAAACTTTCAAAATCTACAAAAAATAGGTATCTGTACCCATGCGTTGAGGTCGAATTCTGAATAATTCTTATTAAATTTTTTTGCGCTGTTCGAAAATATAGTAATAACACTGGAATTATTGAACGAATACAGACAAACGGAATCCTGGTAACAGAACTCTCTTTAGTAATAGCTAATAGTCTAGTATTTCAAAATGAAAAATTGGATAAAAATTTGATATTCAAATACAATTCGGAAAATAAATTAACAACTGTTAAAATCCGCGAATTCATTTAATAATTGTTAGTATTGGTATTGTTAATTATCATCAATTTTCCATTTCGAGCAGGTTCAAGTCGCCGCCGGAAATGCTATATAAGAAAATAGGATGTGGCTCTCATAAAGTGTCAGGCATCCTTCTATTCATTTATATCCTTATCCATCCTTCAGTATTGAATCGCATATGTAAGGTAATACAATCTTCAAACGGGAAAATGTTGAAGGCAAGCGCAGTCGCGCAGCCCCATTAGATATGCACCAATTGCGCGATCTGCCTACCCCTCACACTGCGAGGGTGGTGGAGCAAAAGCGGTATTTTATTTTAAAACGTCTTTCTATTGGCGGCGTCGAGTTTTCATACATTTCGCGTCGCGATGCGGCGCGTCTCCTTGTCAAGGATATCGAGATTCTAAAATTCTATATATGTATTAGGTACTTATCTTTCTTATATCTTTCCGCTGCACATACATACGCTCCTACACTTCATAATAAAAAGAGAAACGTAAAAATAAACAACAGTGAGAGCTGCGAAACTTTACGTATGACGTATGTAGGAACACATAGGTAGCTAATAAGACTTACCTAATTTTGAGTAGTTGAAAGTAACAGAAAAAAGATAAAGTAGCCTATTGTCTGCTGGAGAATGACGAAAATACCGTGAATAGAAGAGGTTACGAATGAGGAGGTATATTGGAAACAGTAGAAGAGTGTTATCGAAAGCAATAAGAAAGAAGATATAAGATGATAGGGCTCTTTTTGAAGCTTGAAAGATTGTAAAAGGTATATTAGAAGCAGGAATAGGAGTAAAGAAGAACAGAGGAAGGGGTACATAAAGTTTATTTCTATTCATAAATAGTTAGGAGTTTGGGATGTTCTAATTTTAGGAAAATGCAGAGAATGGCTCAGGATCGAAAAGAATGGAGTATTTGGATTGTAAAGATTTAATGCAGTCATCCTGAAAAAATTATCCATGAACATTTCGCTATTTATTAGCATATCATCTTCAGGATATCCATTCTGATGAAGTCGTTTAATTGGCGAATACACGTGTTTATGAAATACGCTCACAAACAGGGTTGAGGGAGGGGTATTGTTTAGTCTTAGCAGGGCGAGATGTGACAGAGGGGGCGGTGCTCCAAGGAAACGTGACGTGATAACAGTTCATCAATTTTCTTGTGTGAGAACTACAAGAACTTACAATTTCTTCACCGTTTTCCATTTATCATTAAATTAAAATACAACTTGAGAATGGCTGAATAACTCATTTGTTCTTATATCATATTATAAAATAAATCAGATATATATTTTATCCCTTTTAAATTATTTTTAAAGAATTATTTGAACTCAGTCAATTTTAATTTGACTACTTTTAATTAATTTGTTTCTGCTGTAACCTGTAACTCTATAAATCTTTTTAGGGGCTATAACTCCTAGCACATCTTTTGTCTTTTATTTTACATATCTAGTAAATATTTGATTCGAAAAATTCTCCTGAATCTTCTCACAAGAGAACGGCCTTTCTCTCTCACTTTTTTGTACGTAATGCACGTGTTAGTAAAGAAAAACAATTGGTCATACGTCCTGGCACTATATATATCAATCTCTAAGGGTACGTGTCCTTATCATTTTGCCAACTCTTTTCTTCAACTTCCTGCTCGAGCGGACTTTTTAATTAAAATCTAAGGTTTCACGTATGTATGTATGTGCTGCAGCAGCAGCGACAACAGCTGTTGTAAATAATCGTTTTCGGTAGCAAGGCATACCGGGAGTATCGCCACTGTCAAACTACCACGAAAGCCACTGATGCACACACTATCAGGAACAACTTCATCCAAATCTTACCATACATGTACGTTACGTTATTATTAGGTAGATTCCATCATGAACTGTTTATACGTTTGAGTACCTGACAGCGCTTTATGGGAAGGTTAAAGTTTAGGTGTAGGAGAAGATTGAAACATATTGATACAAATCATCCTTGGGCACTATAAAACAAGACAAATATGAGAAAAACGTATATTTGAAATTACGTACGTATGTCATTAGAAGTAGGTCAATGTGTCAATGTCATAGGTCAGTGCAGAGTATTATTGCATTGACCAATGCGTTAATCTCTAGACGGACGATTCCTACACTCTGTGCTTCGAATAGGACTGATCTAAATCTATTTGATTTCATTGTATGAGGGGTTGTATGAAGCAGAGCGTGTAACAAACTCCTTTGTAGAATGCTAATGATATGCACGGCCGTGTCCGATCGCTGCAAATGAAGTACGCCAAATACTGGACATTTTTGCGCAACTCAAAAATAATTTTTGTAGTATACATACATATTTGTGTTTACTGATCTAGTAATTATTGTTTTCTATTGGGAGGATAGGGATATTGGTAAACCACCCATAAAAACGGTAACAGACCTTGACAATACCTCAATTTTGGTTTGGAAATTTAATAAAATTACTACTACCTATACGAAGGATATTAATTTACCTATTAAAGTTTACATAACGTTAACTTTTTCTCTCTTTTTTAGCTCCTAAAACCATGTCGAGGTGTTTTAAGTAGTACTGCATACTATCAGCGATGAGTAAAGTAGCCATTTAATTAAATATTATCGCAATGGGCAAATGACCTTGATATTTAGTTGATTAGTCGTTCCACAACCATCACTGTTTACATTTATCATCGATGTAGCTGCTTAGTTGTATCGCAGTTTCTCTATAGATTACCAATTCTCGCCCAGGACCGGCTTTGGATGACAATTTCGTCTGTTTTTCTTTCCCTTAACTACGCTGATTTACTAACTTGCAATTCCCTATTACATATAGTTGACAACCTCCAAAGCTTTCTAATTATTTCAGAAACCCCCTGTATAATATTTTAGAAATACTATTCATAAAATCTTCATTAGCAGACGTTTTTCATTTTTGTAAAATTTGTATAATTTATATGAATACTATATGCAGGTACTATGTTTGAGTAGATATATAAAAGTTTAAAAAATTATCAGGAGCAGAAAGCTTCGGCGGACGACAAAAGAGGGAGAGGTAGAGAAGCACGAGAGGAGAGGATTTTTTTCGTTGGTGATTTGTTGATGTACAGGACGGGCTGATGTTGCTTCTACACGCGCCCCATTCACAAAATGATTCTCTAAAACGAATCCAATTGTCAAAGGGTTGTGTCATTTACAATTCTAACGAGCCAACCGTCGACACGTGGCTTTTATTACTACGCACGTTTAAATCGTTTTAAAATGGCGAGGGGAACTCAAAGTGTATAAAAAATTTATATAGATAATTCGACTAAACAAATGTTTTTAAAAATTACGTTAATATTCGAAAAGATATTTTTAAAAAATCATACATTTTGCGAACCACAGCAAGAGGTTCTGATAGCACTATTGTTCAACTGAAGAAAACCCTAAATAATCTTAAAACGGTTTGAGGTAGAGAGGTTTTAGTTCGTAGATCTCCTCGGAGGGAA